CTTTAGGTAAGTATATTTACTTTGATTATTGTTTGTTTTCTTGCTTGTAAAATTTGTTTACTAATATATTTTTTTTTTGCTAATATTTCTCTTTTGGGATAATTTGGAATTAGATTTTGGCTCTAGGTGAGTATATCTTCTGTAAGAATAATATGTATGAAACTTCTATGATAAGCAATTATAGTTAATAGACTTTTAAGTTTGACTTTTTCTTTGCTAATATGCCCAGAATATATATATTGAGCAATTAATGCAGTTTTTATTTGATCTTTTTTATACAATTTGGCTTTAAGAACTCTTGTAATTTGTTCTCTTGCATTTGCTATAAGCTGGGGCATATATGGAGCTTCTAAATATTTATTAGAGTTCTCGATATAACAATTGAATCTATATTTTATATTTTTGGAAGATTGAATAATTGCTTGCTATAAACTCATCATTGTTAAGTTCTGATAGGACTTAAAGGATCTGAATTAGATTTATATTCTTCAAATATTAACTCTTTGTTCATTAGTCTATAGTTTTTTCTTATTGGTTTATCATCAAAATTACCTTCTATCTTTATGATATTTTTTTTGAATAGTTATAGAGCAAGATTCTAGCTAATTCGAGCTATTTTTTATTAGCATTTATATTATATTTATCTTTCATATTATCAATCCATTCTGTATCATTTTGAGGAAGATTAGTATTATGAAGCAATGACTCTTTATGTCTTAAAGTTATATTTTAAATAGGAGATAAGGGTGTATTGTCTAGCACCAAAGATGCTTGCTCTGCTAATAAAATTAAATTACCTATTAGAACATGAATTTGTACTGGAATCTGAACTGTATCTGGATTTTGTGGTAATGCTATTGAAGCTGTAATAGGATTTTGGATATTACTAAGTTTATATAGAAATTTACAAATTAAGTATGCATCTCAATCTTGAGTCTTTTTGAAATCATCTTTTTCACACCTAGAACATGAAGGTAATATTTTGTATATAGGTGCTGATAATCCATTATTTGTATTAATATACCAGATCTTTTGTTTAAATTAAAATTATTCATATTTATATACTATGCTAGGTGAATATACTTGTAATTATTTACTCAAAACTAGAGATATCTGTAGATATACCTGCTATCAGCTTGAAGGGTGCTATGAATATTGGAAAGCTAGAAAGCATTTTTCTTGTAAAGTTTGTAGTAAACTGACTAGCTCTAAACCTGGCCTTTGTAGAAAGTATGCTAATAGATATTATATAACCCAGTATATTAATAGACTTCAGAAAAAAGCTCAGAAGCTTCTACTTTATAAAAATTAGTAAAGTTGGATTACATACTCGGGTGATATGAAATTTATATTTTTGTCATCATTTAATTGACTTATAAAAAAAAAATAAGCAATTTTGGCTATATAAAAATTTACACATTTTTATATCAATTTTATATAGATATAAAAAAATAATATAGAATATAGGTTTGCAAAAATGTGAAAACAACAAGATAACTACTTTGGTACCCTAGGTATAGAAAAAGTGACCTAAAACTCCTTTTTGATCCTACTCTCTAATATCAAAGCAAATAAACTTTTGTTTAAAAAGTTTACACGTTACACCTAATTATATATTATAAATTACCAGTGATATCATCAATAGTGATCTGTAGTAATTTTCTAAAAAAAATATTTGTTTTGATAACTCATGATTTGTCTATTAAATAATTAATTTATTATATATTGTTTAAATAAAAGTTATACTACAAATTAATTTTTTATTATTACAATATAAACAGAAACCAATAGTATTTTACTATAACTTCAAGATAATCTTATTACATTATTAATTATTGCTAATTTAAACATTTAGTCATATAATAGTAAAATATATTTAAGCACTTAAATGTCTAAATATTTGATAAAATATTGTATTTTAGCTAACAATATTATATTAGTAAATGAATTTTACAAGCAAAAAAACCAACAATCAAAATAAATACACTACTCAAAACTGAAAATCTAATTTCAAATCATCTCAAGAATGAAAAAAGGGCCTTAGTAAATAAATTTTACAAGCAAAAAAACAAACAACAATTAAAGTAAATATATCCATCTAAAGCTGAAAGTCAAATTCCAAATTATCCCAAAAAAGAATTACTGGCAAAAAAAAGACTGTTAGCAAATAAATTTATAAGCAAAAAATCTAATAATCAAAGTAAATATACTTATCTAGAACTAAAAATCTAATTTCAAATCATCTAAAGAAAGAAGTACTAGCAAAAAATAAGGTATTAGTAAATAAATTTAACAAGCAAGAAATTCAACAATCAAAGTAGACATACCCACCCAAAGCTAAAAATCTAATTTTAAATCATTTTAAAAGAGAAATACTAAAAAAAAAAGCATTAGTAAATGAATTTTACAAGCAAGAAATCTAACAATTAAAGTAAATATATCTACTCAAAATTAAAAATCTAATTTTAAAATATCTCATAAAAGAAATACTGGCAAAAAAAGGATATTAGTAAATAAATTTTACAAGCAAGAAATCTAATAATTGAAGTAAATATACCTACTTAAAACCAAAAATCTAATTCTAAATCATCCCAAAAAAGAAGTACTGAAAAAAAAAATATTAGTAACCAAATTTTACAAGCAAAAAATCTAATAATCAAAGAAGATATACTCACCTAGAGCCAAAATCTAATTCCAAATTATCCCAAAAGAGAAATATTAGCAAAAAAAAATATATTAGTAAACAAATTTTACAAGCAAGAAAACAAACAATAATCAAAGTAAATATACTTACCTAAAG